TGATATCGGTTGCCCAAATTTAGCAGGCCGACCATTGATATCGGGTGTGCGTCGGCAGGGGATCGAACCCCGGACAATGTGTATTGTCGGCCAAAGTCATAACCGCTGTGCCACCAACGCACATCTTGACATCAGAAATCAAGTAATTTTGTGCACTTGACATCTTTTTGAGTAACATTTCCTAACAATACATTCTTATGATTAGCTCATCTAGTTTTATTTCCGGTACTTAGTTTATGCTCTCTTACAGTAAGACTATCAGTTGGCTATTATCATTGATGGTATTCTCAACAATGGTGGACTGGATTATTCGTCAGACTGTGGGGAGCAAGGAGATAAGAATACGCTGGACCACCGGTGAGAAGACTCTGGATTTTGCGCTTAGACGATTCATGTCTAATGTCACACAAACTCGAAGAGTTGCAGGCGAAAACCAAAAGAACTGGCAGAAGAGACTGGTAGCGAAGGCAGGACTTTAGGTGAACATAGAGAAGACGGAGGTGATGAAAATAACTAACCAACCGACAGCAATAAAAACCAGCACCAGTCACCATCAACAGGAGAGATTTCACAGAGGTTACTTCCTTCACTTATTTGCCTAGTCAATATTGTTTCAACCACAGGGGGAACTGATGGAGATGTCAATGCTAGCGAGAAGATACGCCTTCATCAATCTGAAACCAGTTCGGAAATTTTTTGCACTCCACATCAGCATAAACAAAAAGATTTGGATTTTCAATACAAATGTGAAGTCAGTCAGTCAGCTCTTCCATACGGATCAGAAACTTGGCCAGCGTGTCACGAAAAAGATTTCCAACAAGTTACAGACTTTTATCAACAGCTGCCACCTTCACTGGCTCCTTATTGAAGATCAAATGGCCAGCTGGGCAGAAAGAATTAGCAACAAGAAACGCTGGCTGACTGGGGACAAACCAACCAAGAGCCGATTGCTCAACAAATATGCAGGAAAAAATGGAGATGGATCGGTCATACACTGAGGAGGCCGTCAAATGACATCGCTCAAGTTGGAATACAACCAATGGGAAGCGAAGAGTGGGTGGTCAATGCGAGGGTTATATGGAGGAGATGAGAGATTATGAGCAATCGTGGGCCCAGACGAAGAGGACAGAACCAAATAGAAAAAAGTGGAGATGTGTTGTTGTGAAGCCCTATGTTCCTCTCGGAAGCCAATGGAATAATGAATGAATGAATTGTAGGAGTTCTCTTGTGTCAGCTTTGTACTACTACTACTACTACTATAACTGCAGAACTCGAAAGTGTTTCTCGTAGTGGAATTGTTTATTAGGGAAATGATGTACGCAGATACAGCAAAATACAGAATCCTCAATAATTGAAACCTCCATTTTTACATGTTCTCCATATTGTACCTTTTTTGTCTTCTGTATTGTTCTACAAGGATCTTTCATTTCTCCTCTTTGACACTGAATCCACCCTTCCGTTATTCAATATTCTTCAGGACGATGCAACACACAATATACTACTTGCAAAGTCTTATCGGTAGCATCCACCACACCGCTAATAGAGACCATACTTATTCAATCAGTATCCATTTATTTTGTTGAACACAATAAATATAAACATGAATTGGATATCTAAAAACCACTTAAAACATTGTAGGGTGCTTTACTTTTATATTAGATAATAACGAGTGAACTGGTTATCTATCACTTGCTTGACTATTTTATAAGGAATAGATGAAATATAAAGTAGACGTTTTCTTAAGCTGAGGAGGTACATTGTGGTGAGAGCTGGCTGCAAGCCAAAATTGTAGACAGCAGTTTACGTCACTGTCACGTCCCAAATCAGGGTCATGAAAAAACAGTGACAGAGCTTAACCTTGAGAAACTCAACAACCAATCACAGCAGACTTAACGTGTGCAAATAGGATTCGCAGATATATGGATTAAATTTCTAACAAACCGTCACGCGCAGAACAGAATAACCTTCAGTAAGAAAACAACCAATCAGAAGACGTTTCTTCTCCGCTGACAATAATGCACATAAAAATCTATAAATACCTCTTGATTTTCTCAAAAAACGATCTGTTGCCTGGCTCTTGTCTTCTGCTGTTACAACATTACAAGTCACGAAGCCTAACAATAAATTCGAATAAACTGACCAGTGAACAGAGAATATGAATCTTCATTACTTCTTCAATCAAGTTCTAAATCCATAGTAAATAAAGAATTGTTGTTGGTGACACTATTAATGTTTTTAGATAACATCTAATCATGAAGATAAAATAGACTACAGTTCATTGGGAGGCGTTTTTGCGGAGTCGCTATTGATGATGCTTTTGAATCTTTCAAGCTGTACAATGGCTTAGTTTATGGGTGAGATTTATTTCCTCTTCAGCCCATTGAGCGACAAAAACTATATTGGTTGGGAAGACAATGAAACATTGCGACGTATTTGGGTGACAGAACATGAATTCAATGCTAAATTGAATATCAGATAAGTTAGGAAAAATTAAGAAGACCACGAACAATAATTCCATATTAGATCATCTGGTCCAATAAGGCCACAAAAGTCAACATTGAAGAATCTTTTCCTATCATCTACCGGGTAGCAAAAAATTACCAAAGACCTCTAGGATACCGAATACTCCAAATAGCAGAAGCCATTGTAATTCCCTTAAAACAATAGGAACTTTGAGGACAAAAGTAATACGCCTGGCTACCATTTCTCCCCCTGACCTGCTGTTTTCTCTTCATTTCTTTGCTTTTCGAGTGAAGTGTAGGGCTTCAAGCTTTGAATATTCAGTAGACAAGTGGTATTATAATTATGGTGTGAAGTGGTATTGTTGGTATAGTCCCACACCCAACCTTCTCTCTTTACCAGACTGACTTACCATCGTCTTCTAGTAAACTAGAGAAGGTTTTAGGAGTACGTCAGCCGGGAATCAAACCCCTGTACTATGTACGTGACTGGTGAACAACTCACCCTTAAACCTTACTTAACTTTGATCATCAGACGAGTTTTCAATGTGGTAAGATCGGTGACCTGGACTGCTGTAGAACCTATAAATTCATTTGGTTCTCTATTATTTGTCTTAATTTATTTGTTATTCAAATTCAGTATTGTATTCATGCATATTATCACACTTACGGATGCTTTTAAACTCTATGTTATCTGCTGATCTTATTGATTAGATGCTACTTAAAACGTCTAAGTGCCATCAACAAAAATAATAATAATTTAAGTATTATTATAACTGTAAAACCTGATGAAAAATTTATCGAAACGAAAGAAATGAAATCCTCCGACCAATCGAACAAAATCCCTACAAAAACCAATACTTGAAAATCGATCTGATGCACATTGGTGACTGGCCCTATTCAGGCAGTTGCTTGAGGTTCTAGTAGGAAGCCGTGATCAGTAGAGTGCAGCAGGTCGAAAGTGAGGACAGTTACTCATCGAAAAAGACATTGCGAAGTGGTCGCACTATGTCATGAATCGGCAGAAGTTAGTATTTATGGGCACTTGGATCGGGTCCCAGTGGCTTAATGGGACCAGAAGGTCCTTGGTTCCTACCCGGGTGGGTGCCTACTGATGAATAGTACCAAACTAGGACAAGACAGATGTCCAGTACTCCCTGTTCTCTAACTGATGTCAGCTCATAATGAAATCCTCCAACCAACCAAACATAATCCCTACAAAAACCAATACTTGAAAAAATAGAATATTTCTTGTTCATTAAACTTAGTCTTTTGAAATTTATAATGAGTACTTCACCTGTGGTAGAATTGCTCGTTAACCACGCACCAGTGGTTCAGGGTTCAATTCCCAGCCGGTGCACTATTAAACCTGGCTTAATCTCTAGCAAGCTTGGTAAACAACAAAAAAGGTTGAGTGTGAGACTAGCGATCGCATTCCGTTAAAACAACACTGTTACTTAGACTTAAAAGCCTAAAGCTTGAGATCCTATGTTCCAATGGCGTAATGGTAACAGAAATCTGCTGATATTCATCAAGGAATTAATAATACCGAATTTCAACGCATTTTCATGTTTAATTTTTAACAGTATAAAACTATCATTCTATAAAACGCCTTCTGTGTAAGGAAGAGAAACACTAGGAACATACGTATGATCCAAGAATATTGAACGTTTTATTATATAAATAGAGAATAACAAAACCAAACCGTAATGCGATGCACACAGACACACATAGAGAGATAAAGGGAAAGAGTGGAAATCGTGCTGTGGAAGTGCTGCTTCCCCCCTCCTTCTTCTTCTTATTTTTATTCCGGTTTTTATACCTCTTATAATAGAAATCTGACATAGGGCTGAGAATAACAATAATAATAGTAATAATAATAGCCAGAATAAGACTCAGTTATAATCAAAGCTATTATGTGTGTACATAGATAAACACAGATACAATAGCTTAGAATATAAATGTTTATCAATGACATTCGACTTTATTTCTCAATACAAAATAGCAGATAACGTACAAAAAGGATGAACAAATGAGTGAATGACTGCAAATCAGATCAGAAAAGAAAAGTATTATAGAGAGAGATGTAGTAAAGTAGTAGCAAAGTAGACCACCTTCCTCTCCTCAATAAGTCTTCTACTTACTACTCCACTCTACATACTACTGATAAAGAAGAGTTAAGAGAAAAGAGAAGAAGAGAAAAGGAGGAGAGAGATTAAGAGAAACAGAAACACTAATTTATTTCTCCTTTTTTAAAATAATAATAATAACTCTTTAAATATTGATTTCTTTGAGAGTGATGCAACTTAATAAGTCGACACTATGTAAGAAGTCTCCAACAGAGAGATAGACTGTATAAGACAATAAGAGCTGTTTTTGTTGTTGGTCTGTTTACAAAGCGGAGAAAGCAAACAATAAATATAATAGCTATAAATGTATTCACACATCACTACTACTGCTACTAGTACATACTACTTAATACACAAAAGTGTATTAAGTAGTATATATAGTGGTTATAATAATAACAACAACAATAGCAGCAGTAGTAGTAGTAGCATTAGCATTAGAATTAGATAATGATAATAATCATAATCATAAAGATTCTAATGGAATCGGTCAGCATGATATCCACTTTGGAGACGACGAAAAAGAAGAATTCAGAAAGCGTGAATATGATTTATACAGTTTAACAGAACACAGACGGAAATTAGCTATCAAGACAAAAACCAAAAACTGAGAGGAAACATTTGAAGGAGAGAGAGAGAAAACAAAGGGTTGATAACCCAGAGGATTAAACAGGCAAAAGATGGTGATTGGAGGGGGGGGCGTGGAGGGAGAGCAACAACACTGACCACAGAAATAGACAAAAATCTCCGCGTAATGACTATAAAAGTATTCCTAAAGTGTTGAATAAAAAGAAAACTGCAGATGTAAAGAAAAGCTGAGATCAAAAAACAAAAAAGATTGATGAATGGAACCAGTAAAAGCAAAGCGAAAATTACTGTCATTGTAGAAGGAAAGACATGAAAGGAGGAGGGGTATGCACAGACAACAGGAGAACAAGTGAGTGGGAGGGAGGGAGTGAGGGGAGCAGGAGAAGAACTTAGATAGAGGAAAGACCAATTTCACCACATATAAGTCATCAGTCAGGCGCTAATTACAAGAAGAGAAAAAGCAAAAATGAAATAAGACAGTTGAACACTTGCCAAATACAATAAAATAGAGAAAGACAGAGAGAAAAGACAGCGAATAAGAGCGCTGAAAACCAGGGAAAAGGTGTATCACTGTGTCATTTGACTAATCATAACAATATTAACAACTTTAAACAGTAACAATAACAGTAATAATAATAATATTACTAATAATAATGGCAACGTTGATGACAACAATTGGAAAGGCAAAAGTCACAGAGAATAGCAAGAGAAAAAAGGCAACAACCAGCAGTAACACCAGCAGCAGCGGCAGCATCAGGAGCGGGAGCATCAGCACAGAAGCGTGAAACACAAGATGATTAGATTCGTTTCAAGACAGGATGTGTCAGCGTCACTGAATAGGCACCAAGTACAGGGACAAGTGTTCGTGCATAATGATAAATCATTTGTGAGACACTTGTATAAGGCTGACTATATTCACCAAGAATATATTGACCTGCACTATTACGTGATATTCTCATATGTAAAAACGATTTATGTCTGAAAATAAAGAAGAAAGAACAAAGTGTAAAAAAGTAGGGAGAAAAATATTTTTCACTAGATTAAGGGTAAAATTTGGGCAATGTTTACTGAATATACTATAATATCTGATGAAAGAGTAACATTCACACTGGATGACAACGTTTCGAAGACAGTTTGTTGTTCGTCTTCTTCCTCCTCATTTTTCGTAAAGGAAGTAGGATTTATCGGATGTTGAGGGTTGAATCATTCCTACTTCGATTGGACACTAGTAACTAGTGTGACGTGTCTAGTCCTTTCTTTGGAACAGACTGAATTCTATTGGTCAGGTTTGAGATGTGGCCACCGTTTTAGGTAGCTCGTCATCACGGTGTACATTGATTTGATGATATTCGATAGATGGAGGCAATCAGCCACAGGAAGCCCTGGACCTAGGTTTCGTGCTAGTTGGCACTCACCAGTCAGTAAGATGTATCTGCAACCTTGAAGGAACTCACGCATCCAACTATTTAATATCATCAAATTAATTGCACTGTGATGGCGAGCTACCTAGAATGGTGGCCATATTGCAAACCTGACCAATAGAATTCAGTCTGTTCCAAAGAAAGGACTACACACATCACACTAGTGTCCAATCAAAGTATCCAATACATCCCTACAGGAGGTCAACCGCGAGCCTGAATAGCTCAGTGGTAACGTCTCTGACTGCAGCACTGAGGGACGCCGGTTCGAATCTCAGAAGGGACATGAGTTCCTTCAAGGTTGCAGATACGCCTTACTGATTGGTGAATTCCAGCTAGTACGAAACCTAGGTGAAGCAAGGCTTCCTGTGGCCGATTGCCTTCAACCATCTAGTACATTAAGTTTTTCAAACAAAAGTACAATTGGTTATGGTTATTTTAACTACAGGGGATGAGATTTAGTAAGTTTTGGGCGGAGTTACGTAATACAAAAGGCTTCCTACCGATTGCCTCCAACTATCTAACATTCCTATTTCATTTGTTCTCAGTTGATTAGGATAAAATAAACTTCAGTTATCAGTCTCTCGCCTTCTCTAACATGTTACATTCAATATTAAGACTTTCATCTTAAAGCATGCGTATTATATGGTTGTGCTTATGACTACATGTAGTGCTACAACTGAACTTTTCTCTAGATTTCTTATCTTATTAGGCTGTAGGAGAAGAAAACCTTAGATAACGATATGACTTGACGTGGATAAAGAAGAAAAAGAGTCTCTAATTAAAAAATTTAACTTTCTTTGCACTCCGTAGATAAGACAGACAATGAAACTCATCGATAGTAGATGAAAGTTGTGGATGGTGACTAGCAGAGGAAACTAAAATGTGTACTTCGTCCCTATCTGGGACTTGTCAACTGCTTATAATTGCGATCCCCAGTGCGTGAACGTGTTGCCACTGAGACTCGAACATTCAATCCAACTGAGTCGAAATGCACATCCTGGATTCCTCTGCTAACCAGCAACCACCACCAAACAATATTACTATCAGTATCATTCCTTTCAGTTCCCACAGCACATCTCCATTTAGTCATGTTCTCTGCAGTCGTCTTTAGCTGGCACCACAACTACTAGCCATAGGCTCTCATCTCTTCGTCACACGATTTCCTGGATGTCACCATTTGACTCATACGCAACTTGCCGTTTACCATTTACGTTCCCATTCGAGGGTTTGCTTAGTGTGTGATATCGCTTAAAAGTCTCTTCAGTATGTGTCCAATCCGTCTCCATTTCCTTCTGAATATTTGTTGAGCAATATTGGCTTGATTGGTTCCTTTCGAGAGTTCTCTGTTGCTAATACTCTCTAGTTGGTCATCTGATGTTCAATATGGAGCAAATGCAACTGTTGATAAAAGTCTATAACCTGCTGGAAATGACTAGTACGCCAAGTTTCTCACCCATATTAGAAGAACTGATTGACATCTGTGTTGAAAATTTGAATTTTGTTGTTTATGCTCAGTGTAGTGCAGAAGATTTCCAAACTGATTACAGAGTGATAAATGTCTGTCCAGTCTTTCCAATCCTGATTGGCTTTAACATACTCATCCATAGTGCCTGGTAGTTGAAACGACGCTTCCTAGATATGTAAAGGAAATGACCTCTTTCAAATTTCTCCCGTCAATAGTGATTGGTGTTTGTTGTTGTTGTTGGAGTTAGTTGGTTGGTTATCTCTTTATCACCTCCATCTGCACCAAATAATAAAATCATGCTAATCCTTAGATTGTGCGTCGGTGGCACAAAGGTAGAATGCTCGCCGACCACGCTAACGGTTCGGAGTTCGATTCCTGGCCGACGCACTCCTTTACCTCGCTAGGGTCAGTAATAAGATTGGTAAGGAGAGAAGGTTGGGCAAAAGGCTAGCAGCCCCATCCCGTAAAAATAAACAACACTGCTACAGTAACTTCAAGACTCTGGCTTGAAGCCCTACGTTCCACTGGGGACGTGAAGGAATAAAAGAAATCCTTAGATATCTTCTAAGGGTCGGTAATTAGAAGCCAACATTTCAACGAAGATTGAACATTTCAGTCCATTGGAAAGTAAAAATTAACTTAAATAAATGAATACATTCTTCTATCTTTGAAGACAGACCATTATTGTCTGTTACTTGCTGTTATTTAATTTACATAGCCTGTTACAATACAATGCATACTATTGTAATAATTAATTGAAAACTTTAAAGATAGATAGGTAGGTAGATAATAATAGATGAAAGAACTTCAATGTATATAACTTACTTGATTGTCAATGAAAAATCATTTGGACATGTTTCACTGGGACGGACAAGAAAACTACCTTCTGGTTCATTGCGTATTAACTCTTCAGCTTCTGATCGTGTTAACGACGGATGAAACCATCTAGACAGAAGAAATTTGAAGTTAAAAAAAAACGAAATTTGAATGAATTGATATAAAAAGGTAAAGCAATGTGCCATATTTAATTTAAGTGAAACAAGACAGTGGTGAAAATAAATTACAAAAGTTGTCGAATAATTTGAAAGAGTGAACTAAGACCAGTTGAAATGACTAAATTACCAATTATTTGTTAAGAGCTAATTTTGGCTTTTCCCGTTGAATGATTGGACCGAAATATTCGGTCTGTGATAACCGCTGCACAACAAGTGCTTCTCGTGATCTAAGTGGTTTAGTGGATAATTACCTGGAGTTTTGGACGGTGGGTGCTGGGTTTGAGTCTCGGTAGGAAAACCACCACTTACTGTGGATTGCAGGCACATGCAGTCGACGAGTCCAAAAATAGGACGAAATGGCCATTCTGAATTCCACTGCTAGTTACTACTACCCAGCAAACAAACCTGACCAATTATTCACTTAAAGTAGTATGAAAAACACTGAACAACATCGAGGGATCAGCTAAAAAGGAAGAGTGAATGTCTGAATGGACGAAGAGTTGCATAACGAACCTAACACATATTATTACATATTGATGAAACGCCAACTGGCATATAATTTACTCGGAAAAAACGAACAAATGCGAAAATGATTAGTCAAAGTTAGTTCGAGTTCAATAATGATCGGAATTTAATGGAAGTTCTGATAAACACGAAAAGAACATAATGTGTTAGTGATGAGTTTATAACAACAACAACAACCACAAAAACCCATTCTGTTATGGTGAAAACACTCTTATGGAAAGTTACACAATGACGTATTTGACTGCTTCTCTCTCTCTCTCTATATGTATATATATATATATATATTCTTAGGAGTTCCGAGTGCAGCACAGGGCTTCAAGCTTTTGAAGTTTCAGTAGCACTGGCGTTATTTTTATGGGATGGAGCTGCTAGCCTCATGTCCAACGTTCCTTCTTTGCTGTGCCTGCTACGGGTTAGCCGACTTCTGGTAATGCATTGGCCAAGTATCGAACTTGGACCACCTGCGTGACTGGCAGGAATTCTACCATCAAATCATTGACACACCTACACTGTCATGATATCATTAAATTACTTACTCTTGCGAGTGCTGTTCTCAGTAACAACTGGTCTGAACTATCACTAGAGTAGACCAATATATATGAGCAAAAGGTGAATGAAGCAAAAGCGAACATATTTGAATCTATGTTTTTTCTTTTATTTTGTTCAGTCTAGTAAAGGTAACTAGTTAAATAAAAGAGAATAGGTAAGGAAAGTATGAAGACGTCTTGAATTTCCGTAAAAAGAGATAAATTTCTATGACATTAAGGACGATTTCAGTTCGAACTATTGATTTCTAGCCTCTTGAAGAACCCAGTGACGCTATATACAAAATTCGATGTAATTCAGATCAACAGGTCAAGATTTTAAAAGACTGATCACAATATTAATTATTTAACCATCCTTATCATATATAAGCTAACATCACTCAAAGCCAGAATCGGAAAAGCAAAAAATCTGAAACCAATTTGAAAATCTTTTGCACTGCACTCAGCCAGCCAGAATAAAGAACAAGATTCGGATTTCCGACACCAATGTGAAATCAGTTAGTCAGCTCTTCTATACGGGTCAGAAACTTGGCCATTTACAACAGCCAGCTGCAGACTTTTATCAACATCTGCCACCTTCGTTGGCTCCATATTGAAGAACAAATGGCAGGTTGGTCAAAAAGAATTAGCAACAAGAAACTCTGGTTGAGAACAAACCAACCAAGAGCCTATTGTTCAACAAATATATACGAAGAGATAGATGGGGCATACACTGAAGAGGCCGTCAAGTGACATCGCAAGCAATGCAGGCCATCAGTTGAGTGGAATGATACCAATGGGAAACGGAGGGTGGGTCGTCAGTGGGAGGGTGACATGGAGGAGATCGTGTGGCGAGGAGTAGGAGATGAGAGATTATGGTCAACCGTGGACCCAGCTAAAGACGACAGTAGAAACTGATATAAGAATAGAACGTGTGCACTGTGGTAGAGTATAATTCCATTATGGGTAAAATTTATTTTGATAAAACCTCACAGTGTTATGCAGTAATATTTACTGATGAAGTTTCGAGCACATTGTATTGCTCATAATCATGTGTACTACATTGTGCGACTTTATCAAAATAAATTTTACCCGTAATGGAACGACAGCAGAAAATAGACTGAAGTGGGGATATGCTGTTGATGTCTTTTGTTCCGATCGGGAATAGTAATGATCACTCATTCTGAAAGTCCGTAGCTAGACATGCATTATCGAGTAATACGCTTTTCTCGTCTAACGTTCCATCATCTAAAACCACAAAATCACTTATTCCCGCAAGTATAAGCATATATATATATATATATATATATATATATACTTCAGAGATTTTATCCAATTTCCGGGATTTGAAAATCAATTTAAACAAATACCACAGAAGATACTACTAATTTTACACAGATTACTTGTATGGCTGACAAAGTTAATTGTAACTGTACAGACAATGATTAATAAGTGCTGCAGATTGTCAATCACAAACAAATATCATTGGTAAAGCGGAGATCAATCATTTCTTCATCATATGATCAACTTACCCACCACTAAGAACCAGAAACAAAGAAATTATGATCAGACAAAGAGAGAAGAGGATATCAAACAGCTTTTAAAACGATGTCCTAGTGATACAATACAATTAGATAAACACGATAACAAATTAAGCGCGACAATTCGTATTCAAATCAGTTGGACATAGCTTAATAGTCCCTTTTGAATAACTAATTGAGATGTCTGGAACCATAGGTAGATTGTGTTTAGGTTTCGATTGGAACACAAACAGACACGGGGACACTGAATTTAAATCGGTTATAAGAAGAAGAAGAAGAACAAGTAAGATATTAGTATTCCCATGTTCAAATTATCAATATTATTATCGATTATTTAAAAGTCTTATTCCTGAGCGTCCCTAGTGGAACTATAGGTCAACTTCAAGCTTGAGTTTTAAAGTTTCAGTAGTAGTGGTGTCTCTTTTTACGGAATGAGGTTGCTAACCTTATGCCTAACCTTCCCTCCTTTACTGAATTTACTATGCGGCTAAGCGAGGTTTGAGAGTGCATCGGTCGGGAATCGAACCCTGAACTATGTGAATCGTTGGTGAGTGTTGCACGCATATTATTATCAATATTAATCCTTATATTAAAGAATACAACGACCACATCAACAATAATGATAATAGGACTGCCAACAATTAGGAATAACCTGGACGTGACAAATACCGTATCGCGCAAGCGAATACAGTTGTGAAACTTTACACGCACACACAACTGCTTTTTATATCCAATTCATCCTTTACAAAAAGGTTACACAGAACAAGAAACCACGAAATCAGCATACACGTGTAAAATTGGATCGATAGACTGAGTTTCGGCATAGAACTTTGCACAGAAGTGCCACCGTTCAACGCACTACATTCCATGTAGTATACAAAGGAAGGCAAGAGAGACGAAACAAAAGAGATTCAAAAGAACGATGATAAGCAGGAATGTACCGGTGAAAAAATAATTAACATGGAAAAACAATTGGGTTTTTCTGCATATGGCATCTAAGTCATCGAGAACGATTTCGTATTATACCGTCATCAATTGTTTCTAGCCATTAACTCTTAGCATCCCGAGGACATCAACCAGGAAGTCTACACCCTCCAAATGTAACTGGCTCAAATTAACCGACAAATATTTCATGGACTGATGACAAGTTTTGGTTTGACCACCACACTATCTCTTTTCATTTAACACTACTAACCGTCGAAGAAGGCGATGATGGCTAGGAGGCATGTGTAACACATGTCCCAGTTATCTCAATCCATGTAGCTGCTTCACAACCACATCGATTAACTTCCTTACCTAGTATTCTACGCCTCACTTTAATATTATTTACCATAGTATACCTACCACTCACTCAACAGACAAAAATATGGAGAGATAGAGAGGAAAATTTCTCTCAGAAAAACAACTTCAAATAGAAATAGAGAATGGAAACATACATTGATGTGAACAGAAAATGAAAATACCATGTGAAAAACTACACTACGTCACAGTGGTATCTAGTCGGTTAGACAGAGAGAGAGAGAGAGAGTACAGAAAAATAAATTGACTTTTGAGAGTAAGAAAGAGGTGAGAATGACAATAAAAGAGAACAACAACAATGAGTCATCATCAAATCACTTCCGCATGTGATTCATGTGTATATATACATATATAAGCGGTGTAATGTATGAGACTATATATATCCATTATCAACTTAACAATAAACCGGAACCCAACAACTATATAGCTATACATTTCACTACAATGATAGTATAGAAATATTAGCGTATTGTGCAAAATAGTATATTTTGAAAGCTAAACTAAAAACTAAGGTGTTTGTTTGACCATGAAAATTAATTGTCTAACCTTTAAAAAGTAGAATAACAAAAGTGTCTGAATAGATCGAAAAAGGCAGAGTTTAGACAGTGAAAAATAAGAAAAGTATCTCTCTAATATAATTCCGACAACCGCATGCAAAGCATATTGATAATTATACCACTACCATACACATAATTTGTAGATAAACAGCATGACCACGAAAAGGTAAAAGGCATATGTTGTTATTGTCTGTTTAAGATAATCGAATATGTGTATTATTTTATATAATAGTGGATTATGTGAGTAAACTAGAATGTAATTTAACTGATAACTGCAATTTATGTATATATATATATATATATATATATATATATATATATGTCAATGGGTTCGGAGTTTTGCGATGTTAATCTCAATGTCAACAAGCTGCATACACATGTCCAGTTTAAGAATCTACTCAGTCAAACTTATGATCTCACAACATCGTCAGAACAGGACTTCCAATGCTTCAAATCTACAATCACTGACTCTTGCAATCAATACCTTAATGCTAGATCAAAAAT